GGAGAAATAAGGGAAGGTGCAATGGAGGAGGAATTTCTGTCCTGGAGTACATTTCTCACTCTTACAATTAAGTTGTTAAAAAACAGTCCACTATTGGAATACTCGTCCATCATGCAGATGCATTCACTCATCCATATCATCTATTCATTTTATCCATTTTTCTTTTTCATTCACTCATCCAAATTCAGAGAAATTGCATGAAGCCTTTTGATTGTTAATCCCTAGAATTAGTTGTCATCCCATATTGGTTATGTTCTGCTTTTCCCTTCTGGCAAAACTCAGGGACTTGGTTTCATTTCCTTTTCACATTTTAAAAATACATTTAAAAAATTACAAGAGAAATACATGTTAACACCATAGAGATATAGAATAATTCGAAACATATTGAAAAGAGATTAGGAAGAAAAAGTTACTGCAGCTTCACTACCTAAACAAACAAATAAACAAACACCACTGTGAACATTTTTCTAATATCACATTTTTAGTAAGTTAACAAATTACAATCATACTAATTTCAAAAGGGCACAAATAAAAAAAATCACTAGTACATCAGCTTCTGCCTTATGCTCTGTATTCTTAGGATTCCATGTAAGGACTTATAGCTAAATTAAGCAGAAAAATAATTTATTAAAGACATTGCTGTGTAGCTCATGGAATGTCTTGGAGAGATGGCAAACCAGATTCGATGCTGCTCAGTTAGAAACAACACTCAATATGCTATAGTGCTGTTCTCTTAGAAATACTGCAATTGCCACCAGGTATAGGAGCTGCAAAATGTACCACTGAGATTGTCAGTATTAATTTTTTTGTTTTTTAATTTATAAATGTTTATTTTGCTTTACAGTTCCAAGATTGACCACACCTGGCTAGGGCCTTGTACACACAGCAGAAAAGCAGAGGAAAGCAGCTGCATGTAGAAGAGGCAAACTATGAGGGGCAACTTGCTTTGTAACAACCTGCTCTCATAGTAACTAATCCAGTCCCATGAGAATTAACCCAGTCCCAAGAGAAGGGAATTTATAACTCTTAAAGACCTAATCAACTCTTTTTTAAAATTTTAATTATGTATATATGACAGCAGAATGCATTTTGATTTATTGTACACAATTGCAGTGCAACTTTAAATCTCTATGGTTGTGCACAATAAATCTTCACATCTTGTGTATGTCAGTGCTAATTTTGATTACTGAATGTGTCTGCTCTCACTGAGACATATGAGGGGGATGTTTGCATTTGAATTGGAGATTTTCAAGGGTCATTCTGAGTGTCATAGCAAAATCATATGCCTGTGTCCTAACTGTGGAGAACCCTGGAAATGAATTTCTGGCTTGAGGAACTTTAAATAGTACTAGAGGGGACAGGAGTTTAGCTCCGTGGGAGAGTGCTTGCCTAGAATACATGAGGCCCTGAGTTCCATCCCAACAAAACAAAACAACAAAACAAAAATGTTAGTGACCCTAAAACATGAAAAGAGTCCTCTGAAATTTCGCTATGGCTGTTCAATGATAATACACCTTTTCTCTTTTTTAAACTTGTAAACAAGATTAACGACAGCAAAATTCAAATGCTCCAACCCAACAATGCAATAAATTCCCTACAAAAGTAAGGCAATACAAAATCTCATTGGTTCTTGCATCCAGTTCCATGTCCAGTGTTTTTAACTTTCTCCTCTACTTTCATTCTGATTCTACCCTGATATTCTATAACATATGGGCTAAATTGTAAAATAAAATCAACAATATGCCTTATATAAAGGAATAGAAAAAAATGAGAAGAAAATGAAGAAATTAATACTACAAGTATCACAAAGAATGCAAAGAAATTTGGGGCATTTCTGCAAAAGACTGTGGCCATGCTTTAATATTCTGATACTTCTTCCTTATGTTTTATTTTTTTTTTATTGGCCACTAATAGGACTTATGCTTCTTTTTTTTTAGTATTACCATGAAAATGCCTTTTTCATACTCAGAATCTGGAGATCATTCTGAATTGGTTTTTTCATTTTGTAGTTTTGTGACACATGTAGATTTCTGCCTTTGAACATTCTGATATATTCCAGAAGATTTTGAAATGTCTACTCCCTTAAATTGCTCTGGTGTGTGACTATCTTCTACATATAAAAAAATAACTTTTACTTTTTTACTGCATCATGTAAATTCTTTGAAGGCAATTAGGGATCCAAGTTTAAGTTAAAATGAAATCTTGTTGTAGTGCTACTAATACAAAAAAAAAAAAACAATTGAGAGAGAGAATCAGAGAACAGATGTATTCTAGAACACATATTGAAGCTATTTTAACTTATTTCTTCTAGGGATAATAGGCAAAATTTTCTTTGGAATTAAATTATAAAATCCATCCAATTTTAGACATGGGTAGCATGAATTTTATTAGAACACAAACCAGACAACTCAGGAGTCATAGCTCTGAAATTAATGAATATGGTGATGCCTCACCTGTCCTTACTTTTATTAAAACTTCCTTTCATAATAGAAAAATTCCTTTCATAATAGAAGAGCCTAAGGCTCATGTGTGCCAACTATTAAAATACAGACACTCTTCTCCCCATGAAAGTAAACTACTAAGGGCCACAAGGAAGATGAAAAGTCAAGAGCTTTTATATGTAGACCTTGACCACTCCATGTTTATGAAGGGAACTTTCAGCAGTTGAACTAAGTAAGGGTCATGGAGTTATGTCATGGTGCAGTGAAAAGAGGGAGGGCTCTACATTGAGAGTCCTGAACTTCCTTCTTGCCTCACAGTTTTATAGCTGTATTACCCTGGGCATGGTCTTTGCACTGAGCCCTGGGTTCTTTATTTATAAGACCCAGTCATCATATCTTTTTATTGGTGGGTCACAAACATGACACAAGGCAATCATGTAAAGTGCTAAGAAGAATGGAATGTTAGAAACCTGGCACATACTTGGACAAAATAGTGGTGGAATAACATTACTGCCTGGATCTTCATGTCATCTGTGGGTCTTACATCTCTATCTTCCAGAGCTATAATGATGATAAGAGAGAAATAATGTCTGGACCATCGTATTTGACTTTCAATTAACAGTAGCTATTACTGAGTTGTTATATTCCAGATAACCTTCAGGAGAAGGAAAAATAGGCCACTTCAGTTGGTTTAAACTAGAAGAGATAATTATTTATTGTATATCAATGATGCAAAATTGACATCATCCCAGTTACTTGGAATATAAGTATAGTTTACTGAGGGAGATGAGGGTAAAATGGAGATAATGTCATATATAAATGTGTTATCTTGGGGGAAATATATTAACTCTGGAGAAAGAGCAATAAAATGTGAAGGAGAGTCAGCTTGGAAGAGTCAGGGAAGAATCATGTTGTGGGGCCAGAATGGGCAATGCTATTTCTTGTAAAAAAATGCTGACTGAGTGATAGGATAGAACCAAGATTTCATCCAGTAGGTTTTGATGAAAGGGTGAATGACTTATACCTCAGTTTGGGGAAAAAGTTTAAGGCCTAAGGCAGATAATTGGGTCAATTTAGTCTACAGGGATTCTAGCCTGTCCCACAGCCTTATTTTTCCCAGGAGAGTAGCAAAGAATTATAGGCTAACTTTCTTAGCTTGACTCAGATGCCTTGCTAGTTAGAAGCTGATATTTCTGATGAGGAAATTCATGTGCTTTTCTAGGGTGCAAAGCATAATAGCATATTCACAATCTCCAGCTTCTGCTGGGACATTCATTATGAAGAAGAGAACACATTCCAAATCAGCAGCAAGAAGTGATTTTTTCCAAACACAGTCCCCTCCATCACCATATCTTCTCGCCCAGCCCTTTGGAGTCTTAGTTAAAGCATTTTCTCTGTGGAAGGGAGTCACTTATTTTATTTCAGGGATGATTTGGTGACAGGCGACAAACATCAATTTGAGTTAAAAGGACTAACAGGTACATTTATTGCTTCATAGCACTGGGAAGGGCTCTAGTACAACTGGAGATGACCAGAAACAGAAGCTTTGTCACCAACTTTCTCTGTTAACATTTCTCTTTGTTTCTTTGTACATTGATTTCATTTCCTTTCTTTGAAAAGAGGTGAAAACAAAAATCCCATCCTCTTATTTTTTATTTGGAAAGTCCTTAGGATGGACTCTGATGGATGTTATAAATTTACCCATCATTTAAGTGCTGTGTGGCCACAGAGATGAGGTTTGTTCTTGCTGTGGTCTGAATGTTTGTGTTCTTGCGACGTCTGATTCACATGTTGAAACCTGATCACCAAAACCATAGTATTAAAAACTTAGGTAATGAATGTTTTGCCCAAGTGAATGGAATTAACTCCCTTATGTAAAGCCCTAAAGTGACACCTTGCCTTTCTGACACGTGAGGAAATAGCAACAAGGTGCCGTCTATGAAGCAGAGAGCCCTCTTCAGACATTGAACCTGCTGGCACCAGACCACTCCGAGTCTTGAATTGGGAGCAATAAATTTCTTTTTTTTTTTTTTTAAATTATCCAGTCTAAAGTATTTTGTCATAGCCATCAGAACAGACTGTGAGTTCCTATGTAAATGGTATGAGGTATGATACAGTCTGGGAAGATGGTATTGGCCAAAAGGGAATGAGAAACTGGAAACCACTCTCTCAAGATGGCCTCTGCGCGATTACTGTGAGCTGGGTAATCAGCCTCCACAATCTGTAATTGCCACCTTGTACCTAATACATCTCTCTAACTCCCCATTCCTTGTACATTCTGCTAGAGACAGGCCTTACTTAGAAGGCTATCTTTGTATACTTTGTTGGAGAAAGTGTTTTTGGAGGACTTCCTGTGTGCCTGGTTTTGGGAGAGCTTTGGGAAAGAAAAAGTTGGTCTGACATGGTCTTTCCACTCAAGGGACTATACCCATCTATTTGTAACTGAGGAAGTTCAAGCCATTGTAGTACCATTACTGCAAGGTTTCAAGTAATGTTTTTAAACTTAACTGTGTGATTAAACTATTGTAATCATAGTTTTTCATTCCTTTTCTTCTCTAGTACTCTGAAGATCAGATGAACTCAACTGAGATTGGAGTTTTGAAAGCTGAGTATTTTGTCAAACTCTCTGCTTCCTTAATAGCCTTCAAGTAGCTATATAGTATATGCAACAGTTTTGGGCTAGTTGCCCTGGTTACACTTGTGCATTTTGCCAGACTCTCAGAAAGATGTGATCCCTAATTAACCTGAAAATTAACAGGCTAATGGCAAGGATTTCACAACAACTCAGAAAGAGAGGCAGAAAATATCCTAGAAAATGTAAATCTGAGGTGACACTTGTAAACTTGCTGAAATATATAATATTATGGGATTTCAAAGGCTGACAGATTACAAAGTACCAACATTAAAACAATAATTGAGTATATATATTTTTTCTCAGCTCAGTCCTCCCATTTAAAAGCTTTGAAGGAAAATAGAAAAAAAATGGCTTGAAGATATATTTAGGCCCGCGTCTTATAGAGTATGTTAGGGAGTACATTAAAAATGGAGTCTACTCTTAAAGAATTACTGACTGCATATTTTGGCCTGTTACCTTTTCTTGTCTTGTGAGTTCATTTGGTTAGTTTTTCAAAACTATTTTATTCTCTAAAGTCAAATCAATACTTTTTTCAAGTATGACTCATCATTTGACTTGTAAAATTGGATGAATAAAGTACCTTTATCATATAGTCGGTATTGGGCATGATTTGTGCAGAAATGGGAATAACTCACAATTCCCTGGGTCATTGACTCCAATACATAGAACCTCTATAGATAGATATAAGTATTGTATACTTTGTGACCAAAAGTAAGAATGGACAATGTAGCATTTGAAACCCAGCAGAAAAAGAAGGGAGGAACACTCCCCTGATAAAGGAATCCAGGGAAAGTTAACAGACTTAATTTAGGAATAGATGTTGAAAGAAATAAATTAATATACATAAAGATGGAAGAGGAAGACAAAAGAATTTCAGGCTTTTTTCTTATAGAAGTCAAACACTTTAGACTGTAATTAGCCTCAGCATCTCCCCTTTATCCCTGACTGACTTTGTACCTTTCATCTATCCTCCCTATTCCTTTACTTGCTTCTCAGTAGCTCAGCATAAACATCCAGGAAGTGAAGTCCCTGAAGGGGTTATTCCTATGAAAAGACAAGATTAAAGCAGATTCTTTATGCTCTCAAATCAGTTGGCCTGTTTAATATGTTGCTAGTACAAAAAAATTATTCAGCTTCCACAAATTCTGCATGGTTTCCTCATTTCTCCTTCTTCCAACATAACTTCTGTTTCATGGTGAATGAAATATTGCTTTCAGCAATTTCAAAGTAACTTCACCTTATCCACATGATTTTAGGGATCAGAGAAGAGGCCAGATTAAATATTAACCTTCGGCTGCGTTGTTCATGCTGACACTCAAGCAAATGTGACTTTTCTGAGCTGACGTTTGGCAGGGGGTCCTATTTCCTCTAGCTCAAGGCTAGAAATTATGGAATTTATGCAAAGTTAAGGTCTGTTTTGTGTGAAATCAAATGATAAAATGAGCACTGGAAACTTGGCAAGGTATTCTTTTCCTTTTCTTTTCTTTTTATTAATCTGGTAAAGAAAACTCTCTCTACTAAAAGCTTGGAGGCTTTCATTTTTTCTTTCCTTTCTTCTACCATTGTGCCACTCTGTCTTTTATTTGCTTTTTCTTTTTAGTAGTGATAAGGAGAGGGGAGCAGGTGTTTCTAATATTAAATCCTACATTCCCTGATGTGGTCTTTGGGTTCTCTAAGATTTTCTGACATCTTTGTGGATTGTCTTGTAACTATATGCTTTTTTTCTTCCCTCTGTGATATATGGATTGTGAAGTCACTGTTTCTTATGTTTCCATTCCTGAGGGTTATTGTGGCTTGCAGATGACCATGTTATGGACACTGTGTTAAGAGCAGTGCTGACTCAGATGCCACTCGCAGGTAGAACTGCATATTATGTTTGATCAATAAGTGTAGATTTAAGTTCATGGTTAGAAGTTAAATTATTTTTTTAAATTTTCCCACTGTTAACTTATTTGTGAGAGGAATACTAGACATACTTGCTTACCTTTAAAAGCACTATGTTATTCTCCTTCCTGGATGTGAAATTTCTTTCTTTTACAGAACTCAAAGGTTATACCATATTATTATCATTTATCCTGCCTTAGTAGAAGTATTATCTTTACCTGAATCACTGGTGGAGCTGGGAATCATAGCTTTGACATAATTTTTAGAATTTTCACATCTCTTGGATTTCTAGATAGGTTTTTATCTAGTTTATTTTTTCCCCTTTTAAAGTATTATAAGATATTTATTGTCTTTCAGAGAGAAAAAAAATGCCTTTTCCATAGAGGAATGAGATGGTAAAAATTAAGTGTAATAATTTGAACTGACAATTATAAACCTTTATTAGGACTAGATAATCCTTTTTTACTGGCATTTTCTTTACTTTGAGAGACAGGCATTATGATATTTCTACTTTCCTAGGGTTCAGGCACTGTCACAATATTCTCTAGGCTTTCAAAACCTTGCTAATGACTTAATTCAATTGTTTAATTATCCTAAATGTGAGTTGGAATTAAATAAGAGTAATCTGAAAATCTTTAACTAGATATATCGCAGTTTTATAATAAAAGATCCTTGGTTCAGGTTTTGGCTGCTATATGTTCAGAGAAATATATGACCTTTTGATGAAAATGGAAATTAATATAATATTTATCATGTTTAGCATTTAAATTTTTTTTGTACTACCTCCTGTTTAAAGCTTCTTTTTCTATTGTCATAATAAGGGGGTTGGGGGAGGTCTCCCCAGAGGCAAAATAGACCTCTACTTGGATCTTCCAGGTGCTTGACATGACCCAGAAAAGAATCTAAGGATGCTTCAAAGCTTTATTTGATAATGAAAGGTGAAGATATGCATCCCTAGAGTAGAATTTGGGTAAGAGCCAGCACTTTTGGGGTCTCAGGCTATTCTTTTAAGTAAACTTTGTGAGTGGTGGTATGGGAAGGCATATGGGAATGACATCAGCCCAGTGAACCCAGTTCTCTGATCTTGGATCAGAGGCATGCCAGTGATCTGGTCTTCTTCTAGGATCTTCAGATTGACATTATCTCTTTGCAATATGCCCGCTACTTCCATTTGTTTTATCTAACCTGAAAATTGTGTACTGTAACAGTGCGCTTAAGCTTTATTCAAAATGAGACAATTTTCATAGGTTTGTGAATTTACAGTAACTCTAAGATTTGTAGATTTCTCAGAAATTAGGGAGTGACCATCAGGGAGGAAAAGACAGGTCTGGGAAGTAAGTCTGATCATGGGGCTTTTAGATTTACGGTTACAGCCTCTTTTTCTTTCCTTTTTGTTTCCTTTCTCCCTATCTTTATTTCTTCTATCATACCTTTCTATAAAGAACAATATTTTTCTGAAGTTTTTGTTATATCTACAATCAAAGGTCCTCTACCCCCCACAGAAGCTTCCTGCTGAGACCTCTTGCAGATGCACTATAGAGGGGTGTATGATAAACACAGTCTCTAATTCCTTATTTGTACCCCTGTCTCCTCTCTTGCCTTCCTTTTCACCTTTTTCTCTTCTCCTTGACCCTGAATTCTTTTCTTATCTGGCAGAACTGCTAGAATCCCTGCTGATAAGTCTCAGCTAGAGACACGTTTCCTGCAGAGGGGAGGAAATGTTGCAGCTTCCCCTTGATTGATAAGAGGTGCAGAGCCCTGCTGAGCAGCTGCAAAAAAGCAAATCCCTGCTTCAGCAGAAGAGGGTATTCTTAAGACATTGATCTCAACCTGGAAGCTTGCCTTACTTGTAGGTGTCAGGAAGAATGACTTGGTGAACTGAAATGGTCCTTGGTCAAGATGTGGTCAGATTCACTCTCTAGTGATCATGCCAAGTTGGAAGGGGATACTAGATGCTGAGATTACACTACTGTTCTTGATTTATGTTGAAAATAAATAAATACAACTACATTGCCATGGTGGCCTTTAAATTGAGTTGTTTTTGTTATGACTGTTATTGTTCGAAAATTGCATTTTCCAATTAATGGAAGTACTTTAGGTACATTATCTATAATAATCACTTTTAATGATAACAACGGATATGGAAATTAGGCCAGAGCATAAATTAAAGATATTTGAATAATTATAGTGCAATCAAGTCAAAATTACTGATGCCTTTATTTGATGTTGGATTATGTGGAAAACAGCACAAGAATATACGTGCTTTGGAAGTTGAAAGTACATCAGATTTTGACAGCACAACTGCATAAATTACCAAGTAGTTTGGGTGATTTTCTTTCTCCGAGCATCTTCATCAAATAAAAGTGATGGTTCCAAAGGTGAGTTTTGAACTAAATTAAAATGAATAAACCAATATCGCAAATAACTTCTTAAATGTGTTTGCTTTTTGAGAGCATACTTGTGAAACCTGTTTGACATAGTGCCCTAAGTAACAGTGAAATGTTGTTCTTAATGTTTAAAGTGTACTAGCTGACTAGAGACTAGAACTGACCAGAGGGAATTATAATTAAGTCAATAACTAACCATATAAAATGTATTTGGTTGCAGGAATTAATAAGTATAGAAATGTAGTTTTATGTCATTTTCATACTAGAAATATAATAACTCTGAATTTAGATGCGTATGACTAATGTATGATAAAGATGAAATAAGGAGAAGCTGGCTTATTAATATTCTACTTTCTTGAGAGCACAAACATGGAGTGGGTCAAGGATATAATTGGAATAAGACAAAATGTGAGAGAAGTCTAGGCTAAAGATAAACTACTTGGGCTTATTTCTAGTTTCTTTGAGAAAGGTACTTGAATTTTCATCAAAAAGTTGTTGGAGTTAACTGTGGTTGTTCAAGTAATGATCTCCACCAAATGTTCACTCTAATGGGGATCCTGTGAATATGTTACATATTATAAAGGACTTTGTAGATATAATTCCGAATATGCACTTTAAAATAAGGAGATTATACTGGACTATCTGGGTGACCCCGGTATAATCATATGAACCCTTAAAAGCAAAGGAGAGAGGCCAAAGAGTCAAAGATATGGTAGAAGAGGAGGATGGAGGAGATAATGAAGGAAGGAATGTTGACAGATTTTAAGAAGGAGTTAATGAACTCTCATTTGCTCTGAGATGCAAGAGCCCAACTGTGAGGACACGTAGAAGACCTCATGAGCTTGGGGTGACCACTGGTAAAACCCACAAGGAAATGGGGGTCTGAGTCCTTCAAAGGCAAGGAAGATGATTCTGTCAATAACCAGAATGGGCTTGGAAATGGATTTTTCCAGGAGACCTCCATGTGGAGTCTAGCTTGCCAGCTTGTTGATTTTGGCCCTGTGACATCTAAATCAGAGAAATCAGTTGAGCCATTCTGGACTTCTTATAGAACTGTGTGAAAGCTTTGTGTTTTTTAAGCTGTTAAATTTGTGGTGATTTATTAGGCCAATGATAGAAATCAATACAGTAACATGCAATAAAATGTAGAAATCTTGAGTATACATCTTGATGAATTTTTCTATGTCTACTGTCTTATGTAACCACCACCCAAACCAAGAAATACACTCTTTGCAGAATCTTAGAAAGTTCTCTCTTGTTTCTTTTCTATGAACCCCCTCCTCAGTCTCCTAGAAGTCATCACGATTTTCACTTTATTGGCACAGGTTAGTTTTGCCTATTTTTGTACTTCATGTAAAGAAATCATGTGTATTCTCTTATGTGTGGCTTGTTTCATGCATCATTATGTCTGTAAGGTTTCCATGTTACATGCACAAATAGTTTGTTCCTTTTATTGCCATGCAGTAATATTATAAAACTTTTAAACATTGTTGTTCATTGTATGAATATACCACAATTTATTTACACACTATTATTTATTTTTCTTTTTTTTTATTGTTGGTCGTTCAAAACATTACACAGTTCTTAATACATCATCTTTTACAGTATTATTGATGGATATTTGTGTCATTTCTGATTTTTAACTATTATTTTCGTTCATGTACCAGTTTCTACTGGCTATGAAGGGAATAGAATTGCAGGGTGATATGATTTGTTTATCTATAGAAGATTTTGCCAAACAGAATTGGCTCCTTATTTTGTACCATTTTTGATTCTCTTCTATCTCAGTGGAACCAGAGAGAGTCCAGAAACATACACATATGATCACCTAACTTCTGGCAAGCAAATCACTAAAATTCAGTAGTATGAGAAGGTGTTTTAAAATAAGAGATGTCAAATAAATTAGACTTCTATATGGGATATAACAAACTTTCTCTAGTTCATACCATATGCAAATTATGGTTAATTGAATGACAGAATTAAATCTAAGAAGAAATCTTAATAGAATTAAATCTAGAAGAAAATCTAGGAGGATGTGTTCATGAAGGCATGAATCAAGGAAGCAAACATTTCTTAAATGAACATAAAAAGCATAATTCAGAAAAGAAATAGTTGATAAATTAGACTTCATCAGTATTAAGAACATCTGCTAATTGAATTGTTGGGATTCAGCACACTCTACCCAAAATATGTCACGTAGACATTTGAGACATTTGAGGAAATAGCAGAGGCAGTCCGTACAAACTAGAAAGAATTTTCCTTTCTCTTTGTCCCTTAATGTGGCCATAAAACCAAGCTGACTTTCCTCTGAAAACACATCATAAGACCTCTTTCTAGAGAGGTCCATTCTATGCCTAGTGGAATGGAATGCCCTTATTGCTCAGGACACAGAGATACAGAGAAGATCTGAACAATCAGACCTTGCTGCGTTTATTACTGTTATGAACAAAAAGGAGATCCCTTTTTGTTCAATCACATTTACCCACAACTAACCACTTTTTCATCAGATAGCATAAAATACATAGTTTTCTTTGTTTTTTTTATCCTCATTTCTGAAGGCTCCTGCATCACATAAAACTCATATTAAATGACTGTGTACTTTTCTCTTGTTAATCTGCCTTTTGGTTGGAATGCCTGTATTAAACATAAGACTTGTATCTCTAATATATAATGTATTCCTTTTAATCTATAAGCAAAAGACAGGTAGTTACATAATATATGGGTGAAACATTTGAATAAATATTTCATAAGAGTGGGTATCCCAAAAGCCAATAAGCATATCAAAAAGGTGCTCAGTATCACGAGTCAGCGGGGAGATGCCACAGCACAATGAGATGCCATGACTGAAATGGCTGAAATTATAAAGACTGACCAGACTTTAAATAAGAATGTGGAGCAATTGTAACTCTCTTACTGTTGCTAGAGGGTGTTAATTTGATGTAACCAGTTTGGAAAACTGTTCAGAACGATCTATCAAAGTTGACTATATTAATATTTCAGGAGGTAAAAATACCCCAAGAATGGAGCTACATGAGGTTTTTAGAATTCTCTTAGGGCAATGATTGGGGCAGCAATTGGGAGATTTATAAAAAAGGATTTTAAAGGAAAATAAAGGGAGTATTGGTTCTCTGTGTTGAAGAGAAACTCAGGCACTGTACAAGGTTGTTTACTCCGCTGGCAGAGCTATGACTCTTATGAAAAAATTGAATATTTGTGAAGCACTGTGGTCTCACTTTTCTGACTTTTCTCTTTGCTGAGAGGCAAGAACCAGATTTGCAAGAAGGCCAACAGGTGCCTTTGTGAGTTGGCTGGGACTATCAGTATGGTGGCAGCCCCCATTCTTATTTATTTTTCTGCCTCTGCTCCTGCTAAAGACCTAAAGGTCCTGTATTATCATAAACGTTGCTAGCAAATGATGTTTTTCAACAGAAATATATAAAAGTCTTGCCACAGCAATCTCATATTCCTCTTAAATACTCCCTAAAATCACACTTTAGGATATTTTAAATTACTACACAATAAAACTGTCATTGTTGCCAATGTTAATATTTTCCTTGCAAAACCAAGCTTTAGGTGTTTTAATTTTTTAAGAAGACATTTCCAAAGCTAGGGTTATTTGCATAACAAGATTCTTATCTTTTTTGTGCCCTCTATTAAAAGGCAATTTTTTTTTCTTTATGGGACTCTTCTTTCATCTAAGTTGACAACAACAGCAAAGGATCTTTTTGGATGACTAAAAGGATCACAGAGGTATGAAGGCAGTGTCTTTAGCTACTATCAACCCATTCTCTTTCTCATCTTGATGCTGTTGATAGATAGTACCATTGTTCTAATCCTTTCTGATTCATCATCACTTATCTTTGTCTTGTAATAGAAAAACTTGCAGGCATTTTAATGTAGAAGATGGTTTGTTTTTCTATGTCCATTTCCTCTATGTCAGAGATGAATATAAGCTCTAATACTTTTTTGTTGTTTTTTATTGGCCAGAGGAAAGTAAACAACTTGATTGTGCTCAGAGCCTGTCTCATGCCTCATTAGGTACTGGGTGTAAGCAGACGGTAGCAGCATTATACAGCTCTGTAGAAACATCTGATTTATTTTTATGAGCAAGTTATAGTCTTTAAGACACGAGCACCAAAGTCACAAGTGGTGCCATATACATCATAAAAATGAAAGGTTTTTTAAAAATATGTTATGAAATAATCCATGCATGCAATTCCTTTGAGGGTGAAAATATATAGTCTCTTAGAACAAATTGACTTTTTTAAACCATGTTATTCCCTTGTCTTTCCAAAATTCAATGATTTGGTTGCATTGGAAGAAAGCACAAAGACACTGGCATCTATATCTCAGAAGAGGGAGAGAGTTCAGAATTCCCAGACTGTAAAGAAATATCTTTTCCTCTTATTCTGTTAGAAAACTTTCTCCATTTGGAAGACTTTCTCCATTTGCTCCCTCACAGCAAAGTTCTTGTGTTTAGAAATGTAGGTCTAAATGATTTCCCTGATGACAAACAAGTGCAGTCAAACATTCTCCCATGGCGGAAGGGCAGGCTGGGTGAAGTTAGCATTCGAGGACCTTACATTCAGTATAGAATGCCCTTGGATTTATGAAACAACAATAATTACTTTACATTGTGTAATATTTTATCATTTGCAGTTTGCTTTCTCTTAAGTATGACAGGCAGTTTTCAGTCACTATTTCTCAGACAAGAAGACCATATCAGAAGCTAATTTAAATGACTATTAAATGTCAGAAAATTATAAAATTCACTTTTTCTATACTAGAGTCCTTGTTATCTTAGTTCATGATCTGATCTCTTTACTGAACATAAGATGTCTTTTTTGTTCTCTCTCTCAAGGGTTTCTACTTAGATCTTACCCTCTCACCTGGAGACCAACACAGTCATCCCTGTCTCCTCAGGTCTGGTATCCTCTTCTGACTCTCTTTCCTACTCACAGTTCTTTATATTTAATTGTTTTCCCTATAAAAACTTGAACTTGATTTTAGTTATTTATAATTGATTTCCAAAAGGCTTATAGGAAATTGTCCCTTGATGGCTAGGTGTACTCACAGCATTAAACCCAGAGTTGAGCATCAAAGGCCAGAACTTATAATTTGGGCTCTTTAAATATGCTGCCTACAAAACCTGTTATTCAGCAATCAGCAAAATATTTTCTCAGGGGCCTACATAATGTAATTTATGATATTAGGTATCATGTATCAAAAAGCAGGAATATTATTTGTCTCAATATTTACCCTTCGGTTTATTGAAAAGACTCAATTTACAATGAAGTTTGAATATCCTAAGATACTGGGGTTATTTGCGTCTTTTAAACAATTCCATCTTTTTTTTTTTTTCCACCTTAAGTGAGAACCCAAGGCTTGGAGAGGTAAAATGACTTTTAAGGGGACTTGTAAGCAACTTACTAGCAACTTTGTGATTTGGTGCCTTGCTGAGTGTTTCTCTGGAGCTGCCCCAGTTAGGCACACTGTTAAGGCAGTAAGTTTCAAGAATCAGAAGTCACTGCGTTCTGAGAAAAGATTCATGGAGGAGGAAAATCTGAGCTGACCCTTGAAATACATACAGGATATCAGCAAAAAGCATGGGAAGAACTTTCTAATGGGACCATATAGGACAGATTAGCAGGTTAGGAATTAGATAGCTCTGAGCAAGATATGTACTATTTTCTTCTCTTGGGAAGTATAGATTGGAAATCAAACTAAAGGGTAAAATCATTATGACATTTTTGTGAGATTCACTTTGTAGTGGAAAGTAGGATTAATGGTAGCATGGGAGAAACTAAAATAAAAGAGGTCAAGTTGGAAGCTATGAAAACAGTTTAGGTATGAATAATGGACACTTATTGGATGTGGTAGTTGTATAAATTAAAAGAAAGATACAAATGGGAGAACTGAGAGGAGCTTGACTTGAGGAGGAGAAAGAGAAGTTGTAGGCAAAGGAGACTCAAATTGGAGCTTCCACAAAGAAAAAAGAGAAATGAAATTCCATGAGAAGAAAAGGGAAACTCAGAAGGAGAAGCCAGTTCTGAAGGGAGGGTGATGATGGTGTGAGCTTCAGATAAGGATCTAAGTGGAAACCTTATAGTCAGAAAGACATTTTATGTTCTGTAAAAAGATCACTAGCTCAAAAGCACAGGTTTGGAAATTGTTTGTATAAAAATGTGGTAGTTGAGATAAGACACTTGAATTCAACTTTGAGAACTGGAATGTAGTGGGACAGTTGTCTATTAGGGAAGGAGGAAAGGAGTCTAGCCCCAAAGGATCCTGTTGGCCTGGAAACAGGAAAATCAGAGAAGTGTGGGAGAAGAATTTGGTTTCAAAAAATAGGAGGTGATTAATTTTAACAAAAGGGTCAAATGTTATATGTATTTTTTTTAAGAAAAAAAGTATTAGGGAAAAATGTAATAACTCTAGTAGAAAAGGCCCAAGAGATCTACTTACTAATCTTGTTCCCTAATCATATAGGAATGTGTGTATAGGAGAACATTCCTGGGTACAGATTCTAGTCAGAGCTTGATTTTCTAGATTTAGGAAATATTTCTGTTTTTTTTTTTCTACAAATACGGAAACTAATCCTAGCAAACACCCACAACTTGGACAAATAAACCATCTTCTATAGATGTATAAGATCACTTTTTTATTTATGAATATATAAATTTTCCTTTGATTTTTTTCATCTTCATTTTTATTGTGTTACATTTTCACTCTTATTTTGTAAAAAAAAAAATTCCTAGTAAGAGTTAAAAGGACTGATGAATGGTCTTCAGTTTCTCTGGAGAGTATAACCTCAAAGAAAAAACAAATAGATTTTGACAAGTAGACAACTGAGGTTTATTTTCAGAGAAGACTGATTTAGTAATTCTAATTAAGATGATTTGAAACACAGGATTTTCATTTCCTAAAGTATTTTATAAAATGCAAAGAGGAGTCTTTAATAAAAGCTTACTATTTTTTTAATTGCTAAGAGTAGAGAGAGGTGTGAATTACATTATAGTTTTAGATTTGTGGAGATTTTAATAAGTTTAGTAGGTTTGATATGAACCCTTGACATTCAAAGTTAGCATAATTTTCATCTTATTTTTTATATCTATTATTAGACCATACTGGAAATTAATTTTTAAAACTTAGTTTGCCTTAGAGCTTCCTACTATAGCTTTTTACATGTCTTCATATCTACTGTCAAATGATAGAAAAATATTTTATACATGAATTTTCTTAACCATCATAATATAAGTCAACAGAAATGATGTTGATTTTCCACATATGTAAATAACTTCTTAAATTTTATGGAATATTTCAAGACTGAAAAAAAAAACCTGTTAAGGTTTTTAAAGATAACATCTAAAACATTTGAAAGCCCAGGTACATTTATCAAATATTTGCTGCATTTTTTGATTCAAATTAAAATTATTTTTCCATTATCAGTTGTGGGCAAAGGGAACCTGAACCAAAGCAGTGGAAATGATGGCTCGGTGAGGGAGAAGCAGGAAGCAGGAAAAGCAGGAGATCAGGACTGCTTTTACTTCTGTTTTTCTCAATAGCAAATCACACACACATGTGCACACATGCACAAATTTGTTCAATATCTATTGAACAAAATATGGCTTAGGGAATCATAGATCTGTTTCTCTTGGTGATATGCACATATATAGCCTCAATGACAGTTATCATCACATCAGTCAAAACTGGCATGCTGTGTTCATCCGGTGGTGCTGCTTAGGAAAGGTGAAAGTTCTCAGGATAAAGTCAACTTTGAGTTCTGTCAATCATGGATCTGCTTTTGCTCCCCTTAAAATAGATGAATCACTTGTCTTAATTGCTGAAATGATAAGAGGTGCATACACATTCAGTTTGTAATTGCTGAGAAGTTGTGGCTTGGTGATATTAAGGTTTGTAGTTAAAATTTAAGTTTTAATAACATGTTCAGACCTAAGCATATATCTCTTAAGAGACATGAAAATGTAGGTACTCTGAGGCATTGTGTTGGTCTAGGTTCTCTAGAGAAACAGAATCAATGGGAGGGATATATATATATACACACACACATATATATGTATATATCTTATATACTTATGTGTGTATATATGTATATATACATATATATATGTATGTCTAGAAGGAGATTTATTATAATGTATTGACTTACAAAATTATGAAGTCTGAGAAGTCCTACGTTCTGTAGTTGGCAAGCCTAGGACCCAGGAATGTTGGTATGGTCCAAAGGCCCAGAGTCAGAAAGTTGATGGTACAGATTCCAGTTCAAGGCCTGAGAACCAGGGGCATGGAAGGCAGAAGATAAATGTCCCAACTCAAGACTCAGGCAGAGAGAAGGTCAATCCTGCCCTCCACCTTTTAGTTCCATTCATGCCCTCAACAGGCTGGATGATGTCTACCCACATTGGGGAGGGACATCTGTTTTACTTTATTTAAGTTGCAGATTTCTTATGGAAATATCTTCACAGATGCGCCAAGAAACAGGTGTCAAACCCGATAAGTGGGCATCCTGTGACCCAGTCAATTTGACACTTAAAATTTTTTTGTGATGGGAGTATATAGTAAATAACACAAAATGATTTCAATGCAGGATTTTTTTTTGCCTCAAAAATCTGTTTATCTCAAGGTATTACAGATCTAAAAGGAATTGGGTTAAAAGTCCAATATAATTCCTTTGTAGAGTATTTTAGTCAGCTTTTTTGCTGCTCTGACCAAAAAGACCTGACTAGAAC